TTAAGTTGTTTCTCACCTGTTCTTGAATTTCTTTACATCAGGACATGTTTTTTTATTTTATTTTATTTTTTTTAGATTATTTAGCCTGCTATATTGTCAGACAGGTTCTATCTAAGCGTTTTGTTTAATCTATAAACAGTAATCAGACCAGGGCGGGGCTAGTGAAATTGAATAAGCAAAAAAAAAAAAAGAAAAAGATCTAACAGACATTTCACTTACACATAACGGCAGCTTGGTTTGGACGTAGTTTTTCTCTTGAAAAATAAAACCGTCATTTGAAAGCTGTTTTCGTAATTCTCGATTTTATCTGTGACTGATATTAAAATGAGTTTGACCATTCCAAACAACTGAGTGTGAGAGAAAAATAATAAAAAAAAATGTTCATGGCATTTTCGAATTAAAAGTACAGATAATATTAAAGTAAAACATGTTCTAAGATGTTTCACTCAGAAGTAGGAAATTTTAAGTGTCCGTCTACATAGAAATGTACCGATAGTTCATGCTGCTTCCCATCTCTCTAAAAGTAGTTCCTCAATCGATAGTGTGCTGTGGTGAACATGGTATTTTAAAACATGAATTGGCTCTTTCATTCAAATTATTTGTTTATGTTAATTTGACAGGTGAAGGTGCAAGATGGCAATGTTTATGTTTCTGTTGACAAAAAGGTAAGCCACATAAGTGACGAGGATCTCAAATGTATACAGTGTCCTTTTATTTAGTGTTGAATCATTTATAATTTGTTGCCCTCAGTCTTTGAAGTTGACTAAGAGGATGAAGGAGATGTGCACTGTTAAGCCCGACGTCAAACACACCATTCTGCTTGTGGGAGGAGGTAAGTTTGGTCAGCTGTTCCTAAATTAGCAACCAATATGCAAACAGTCGTAAAAGTTTGGAACATGTCAAATCTCGAGCACAAATCTGATATATTTCAGGCCCTGCCTCACTGGTCTGTGCCGAGACTCTTCGTCAGAACTGCTACCAGGGTCGCATCATCATTGTTACCAAAGATAGCCTCCCTCCGTTTGACAAACCCAAGCTAAGCAAAGTGAGAAACTTCATCCAAAAGCTCCACTGTCACTGTCACTTTAAGAAAAAAAATGCATTTTCTCTTTGTTTTCGTTGTCTTCAAGGCTATGGATGTGGAGAGCAGCAGCATCCTCCTGCGGCAGCATGACTTCTATGAACAACACGGGATAGAAATGTGGACAGGGAAAGAGGTGAGAGCCAGAACCAACCAGCTACAAATGCATGTGACTTGCTGCCATGTTGGATTGAGCCGTTTCTACTCGCTCCGTGTTGCAGGTGGTCTCTGTGAACTCGGCCGATAAAGTCGTGAAGATGAGCGACGGCACCTCGCAGCGTTACGATCAGCTCCTCATCTCAACCGGCTGCAGGTGAGTCTCGGCATCCTGAAAGCAAATTCTTGGTGCTCTAAAAAAAATAAAAATAAAATAAACATGAATTAGAATATTTTTAATGTCTGCAGAGCGTGCCCTCTCCAGTGTCCTGGATCAGACTTGAAGGGGGTACATCTGCTGCAGACTTATGCAGACGCCAAAGAGATTCACGCATCATCTCTCGGCAAGAGAGTTGTTGTAATCGGAGCGTCCTTCATAGGTTATTATTGAGACTTTAACCACTAGTTTATTCAGTTATGATGATAACTTTTCTTATATGTAAGCAATGTTCTACACAGTAAATATGCAGACGACCGGATTGTTTTTCATTTGTAAAACAGGCATGGAGGCAGCTTCATACCTGTCGGACAAAGCTGCCAGTGTGGTTCTGGTGGGTCCCACCAAGTATCCTTTTCAGAAGTCTCTGGGGCCGGAGATTGGCAAGATGACCATGAAGGTGAATAGGAGCTGAAAACTCATTTTAACTGCTAAATGCTTTCTTTTTTCTTTTTTTTTACATTTGTATTCATCTCATCAGCTTTGCTTATTTTTGTTGTTTTCTTACTGTAAGATGTTGGAGGAAAAAAAAGTGAAGTTCGTCATGAACAACAAAGTGACAGAGATCAGAGGAGAGAATGGAAAGGTAACTCAGTTTTTATTGTTTAGCTCTAAACACACCTGTAGAGTTTTTTTTTTTTTTTTTTTTTACACTTATTGGTTCCCATGTCAAAGATTTGTAAAAATATTTGAAATAAATTCTTTTAATTTGGGGGCATTCATTCAGGACTTTTCAACAGTGATAAGAAAGTTACACCATGAACTATGACAAACAGAATTTAATCATCACTAGTGCAGAGTAAATTAGACTAAAGTCCAAGTCCAACTACCTGTTACGATTCAACCAACCCAAATGTAACATCAGTCTTTCTAATGACAGACCAGGAGTTTGTTCCCTGACTTTCCCATTAATTACTCTTTTTATGACGCATTCAGGTAAAACTGGTAACTAAAGCTCCACTGACTACTTTGTGAAATTCTGATTAAAATCTAATTGTCAGAGTATTTTAGCTTTGTTTGATCACTGCTGAAAAACACACACAAACACATATCTTTTTTTCTATTTCTATGATTATGCAGCAAAAACGTACAGAAGTTTGACTTTAAAACCAAGATATGTACAGAACCATCATTTTTATGTACCTTATCACCCCTATGTTGTTCATTTCTTCAGTAGACATTGTAATGTAAACAGAAAGAACCCTGCTAAATTCTTGCATAACCTCTGAAATGTATTGCATGTTTTGTTGTCCATTGCCCTTTTTTTAGGTGAAGGAGGTGGTGCTGGGTGATGGTTCAGTCTTGGAAGCTGATGTGGTAGTTGCAGGAATTGGTAATTATTTTTGTTTTATTGCATAACCTTGTGATAATAAATGTATTTATTTAAAAAGGGAAGAGCAATGACTTTAATTATTAACCTCTTTCATTTTATGTTCCAGGTGCAATTCCCAATTCAGACTTTCTGACAGGAAGTAATGTGGCAGTGGATTCAAGAAAGGCAGTTATTGTTGACAAGGTAACATTCAAAATACAGGAGAGCATCGGGCAAACTGAGATCTTTGTGATGGAAAAATATATATTTTTTTTAAATCAAGAATGTTTTTTACAAAAATATATATACACTGAAAAACAGAAACTTTCCTAAATCTAGTCCCAAAAAAAGAAATCGTCACAGCCTACTTATAGAAGAACCCTTGTGTTATTCGGTTTCACATAAACATTATTTTCCAGCTGGCACCTAAAGTTGTTGAGCCAGATTTGTCTTTGTGATGCAATGGTTAAGGCAAACAGACAAGCTAACCAAGGCATCACTTACATGGACAAGAGCATTATAAAAGTAGGAAAAATTAGAAAAATATGTTTAAAAATTACTTTCTGTTTTGTGGTGCATTGCCAGAGAGCTAAATGTTGATTATGTATGGAACAGATCAAATTATGGTGCGGAAGGTCTTAGTTGACAGCATCCATTAATAATTTGTTTACATGAAAGGAGTTCAGTTTTTATTTTTGATTTTCAGAGGTTATTTGTCTCTGGTGAAGGCGACACATTGGACTCATTATCTGCTCCATCTATTCTCTTAGTTCATGAGGACCAATGTACCAGATATCTTCAGTGCTGGAGACGTTGTCTCCTTCCCTCTGACCATTCGTGGGGACCAGAGGGTCAATATCGGTCACTGGCAGATGTCCCATGCTCACGGTTAGACACTTTTCTATTTATAAGATCTTTTCCTTTCCTTCATCTTTTTAAGCTATGTTTTTATTGCACATGTTTTTACTTTGTCTTGAACTCTTAATTTTGTTTCTACCACCAGGAAGAGTTGCAGCTCTGAACATGCTGAATAAACCAACAACAATTGAGTCGGTTCCTTTTTTCTGGTCTGCATTGGCTGGAAAGAGCATCAGATACGCAGGTAGAGTAATTAATACAAAGTCTCAAAAACCTTTTTTAGTTCACAATAAGCTGAATTTAATCTCCATTTCACTTTTATTTGTTCTTTTCAGGTTATGGTGAGGGCTACACAGAAATCATAATTAAAGGCAAACTGGAAGAACGGAAATTTGTGGCCTTATACATAAAGTGAGCAGTTGTGGAGCGACTCTTTGTGCAGTTGGGGATAAATCTGTTCTGGTCCTGGTGACGTTTCTCCTGTTTGTGTATCTGACAGGGACGAGGTGGTGGTTGCTGCGGCCAGCATGGCGTTTGAGCCCGCCGTGTCTCGTGTTGCAGACCTGCTGGATCAAGGCAAAGCCATAACAAAGACTCAGGCTCAGTGAGTCACAGTTTGCATCTGTACAAACTAAAATGCACGCTACGCAGTAGCTTTCAACTTATTTCAAAGTTGAAAGCTTTGAAATAAAATATCTTATTGCAGAGGTAGAATTTTAGATGGGAAAAATTAGGAACAACTCCAACTTTTTTTTAAGTAGCTATTCAGATATAATAGTTTCTGACTAAGTCAGTAATGGCACAGTTAGCAGGGACTCTTGACTAGTCATGTGTAAAGTAATGACAACCAAAGCATCAAAGCAGGTATTTTTGACTAGATGATTTGTTTGAGAAAACAACGGAAATATTTAACTTTAAAAGACAAGAAGACAGGTTACATTTATTTGGGATGTTGTTAAATCTTAATGGTAACGACAGACTATTTTTGACATGTTTAAATAGCTTAAAGCCTGCATGGAAATGAAATTGATATTCAGGTTATTGACATTAATGTTCTGTGTAATAACCATCTTGCTGATGTTTGCAGATCTGAAGACCTGAGTTGGCTGGGGATATAACTGGTTGTCATCAGGAGCAATCGATGATGTTGTCTCCATCTCTTTTTCTTCTGTCTTTCTCTGCAGTGCCTAGATTGATCTGTCCATTTACAGTCACAGGCGTGGCGGTAAACTAATCAAATTGTTTTTTTTTCTTATTAAGCCGTGCTGTTACCATAGCAGCAGCTAAACCTTTAATGTTTAATGTTTGTTGATCATGCAGACTGAAGGATTTAATTTACCTGTAATCAGAATAGAATAGAATTTATATATATATATATATATATATATATATATATGACTGATAATTTCAAAATGATATTTATTATAAACAAATAAATAACAAGCAATCACATGCAATATATTAATCGATAACCTATAAATGAGCGCAGAAAGAATTTGAATCAAATAGCACAGACTTGTGCATTGAAAAGCCTGATGGCAACAGGTAGAAATGACTTTCTGTGGCGTTCCGTGGTGCACTTTGGCAAAATGAGGGTAATAGGGTAGTTAAGTTTTTGGTGCTGGTTATTTTCTACTTTTAAAAATCAAAAATCAATATGCATTTCTCTCACTCTCTCTCTATGGTGATTGTGTTTGTCATATGCAGCCTAAAATGTAAATTATTAAAATGTTTACTGACTGCCCATCTGGCATTTACATAAGCAGCTCCTTAAGATCAGGACGTTTACAGAAAACAAAATGAAGATTGTGACATTTTTCTGCTTCTAATAAAAAAGTACCTGATACCAAATCTGTTTTTTCTCCTCTAGTCATTTCTCAGATAGATAGATAGATAGATGGATAGATACTGTGTAAAATCTCAACCCGTAGCTATACTCCAGTTCTGCATTAAAGTTGTTACAATAAAAACCAAAGATTTCCTAATCTATGCAATGTACTAATGTAACGTTTTGTAGCCAGTTAGCAAACTCAAACTTAACTAAATATAATTCCTTCATTCATTCCTTCACAGACATTACAGGCACAAATTAAATTACATGAATTAAACATTTTTTAAAGTTAAATTAAACGTGTGTACTATTTTTTCTCAGCAGGTTGCAGCTGCCTGTTTTATCTGGACGTTTTGGAGCACTGCCTCATTGAGGACCCCCATCGGTCAGCCAGCAGGACTGAGTTGAGGTGACGGTCCTGACCAGAATAATTAATAACTGTGGTCACATTATTATGCAGCCCATAGGATAATATTTTTGTTTTTTTGTCACATTAAATGTTTAAAATCATAAAACACCTTATATGAATACAAAATACAATTTTTGATATATGATGATGGCTTAATGATGATGGTTTATCTTTGTTAAGTCGTGGGCTAAAATTCCACCACAATGCTGTTAAGTCATAAAATGGATAGTAAAAATAATATTATACATTTAGACAACCTCACCTTGAAATAGTGCGAGGAATCAAAGTCCAGCTGATCTGGAAAGTCGGGAATAGTTCAGCTGTAGATCACAGCAGCACCTAACCTCCCTGGTTGCTGGGGCAACTTAAAGACCCAGTGCTCTAATTATCTGAGCTACCCCATTCATCCGTTCCACCTTGTGGTAATGCGCATGCGCACATCGATGCTACGTCACATACTGATTACTCAGCAGATTTCTTATCACCGATATATAGACGTTTACGTTTACAGATTTACTTGCGGAAAATTGATGGAACGGGAGCTTTTAATTCAGAAATCTTCCCATTTTGTCTGAAACTTATGTTTGTATTGAACCAGCAATTAGAAAACATGCTTCTGTTACATGACAGTTTACTGCTCTAATGTAATGGGGTTTAAATGTTTTCTTCTCTGAAAAACACACCAGCAATAAATCTCAGGCTCTGAAAGGAGTGAAGGGATTATTTAAATCCACAAGGGGGCGTCCTGAACTGTCTTACACTAAAGAATGAGCACGAAAGAGATTTAAACCCAACCATAGTTAATATTTTAGCATATAAAATATGACATTAGTTAGTGTTAAGGAAGAGTATTCTATCTAAAATAGTTAACTTTGGAAAAAAGTTTGGCTCTCTCTTCCTCTGGATCCCAGGTCCTCTCGGCGGGCCGCGTGTGGCCACAAGGAAAACAACAATGCGTGTTGACGTCACAGAATTACAGAGTTTAATCCAATATAAGATTATGCATAAACTTAGAAGTAAGACAATGCACAAACTTACACCAGAAACTGCAGAACAACGGAGACATACATTCATTTACCTGACATAAATGTAAAGAAGAAGAAAAGCAAAGACGTGCAAAGACATCTTTGGAGAGTTGCAAGATCAAAATCTAATGTGTTACTTCTGTGTAGAAAGTTTTATCCTCTTGTATTTAATTTATTCAAATAAGGCGTACATTTGCTCCTCCAACCAGGAGCTATCTCTGACCCTCTATCTGAAGCCAGGAACTCCTGCCGTGTTTACGGCCTTTCACAGATGAGTGTGAAAAGCTGTAACTTCCACTGTATTGTTTTCTCACAGACAAAAGGCAGTTCAAACGATCCTAGCAAACCATCTGCTGTAACTACAGGTAAATTAAAGGTCAAAAAGTCAGAATACATTACTAAATTCAAAACCACAATTAGGCCATTTGAATCAAGACATGTTAAGTTTTAAAACTAACTTATTTTAAATTTATTTTCTCAACATTAGACACAGAAAATTAAAATTTTAACAGTTTGTTTGGTGATAAATTTAAAGTTAATACAATTGCTTTGAGGTCTGTTAAAGGGATCAGCATAATTTCTGGTTTACAGTTCAGTTGAGTAAGGGATTCTGAAATTAACCAAAAAATCTATTCTAGAACGTAATGAACCAGCTCTGTTTGTCCATGTAAAGTCTCTTCTACCTGGATTGTTAATTCCCCAGATATCAACAAGGCCTCTTTCATTTATGAAATCAGATTAAAAAAAAGAGTTCCCTGTAATTTTTTCCGGCCATCTATCAATTTTGTTGTCAATAGTATAATTAAAATCTCCGTCCAGTATTATTTTAACTTATCAATACTATCAATCAAATTATTCAGTGTTTGAAATAACTGTTTGTTTTGTCTCATGCTTGAATAGCCATAAGTGTTTACCAACAGAAAAAAATTGGTGACGGTAATAGAAAACTATCTACATATAATGACCATTTGAGTCCGATTGAGTAAGAATAACCATTTCATTAAATTTGTGCTTAACGCTTGTATTATGTTGAGAAAAAATACATTTATTATGTTGCGGGTAATTTTGACCCGCATCGTGTAATCAACACAAAACAGACAAAAATTAATTTAACCCAATAATAACTTTATCTTAGATTATGCAATCACTTAGAAGACATAAGAAGAATAAATATTCAAAACTATACTAAGCAACTTCTGATTTTAATTATTCCTTTTTCACTAACACTTTTTCGTTAACTGTTTAACTTGCCTCGTTTTTGGGGGGTTTTCAATGTTTGACATCTTCAGTATTCCCCACATGATGGACAGAATGTGACTGTGTGCTTTCTGCAGATGAACTTCTTGCATCTCACACAAGAGGTACTTGTCTTAATGTCATCTCGGGAGGGACAGATTTGGCATCTTTTGCGTTTTTTTGCACATTTATCCAGAGGATCCATCGTGGGTTGATCAGATGCCCTGACTTGGACATTTGCAATGACAGCTGCAGCAGCTGGAGATCGAGCTGGCCTGGCCTGGTTCTGGATCTTGGGAGTGACAAGTGCTTTGCCTAGTTCTTCCAGGAAAATTCGACGTCGGTACAACTTGCTGGCATTCCAATGCTGGTTGATCTCAATCCACAGCACATAGGCATTGTAAGCAGACACGTCCACAATGTTGTAGAAAACCACCAACGGCCAACGGGTAGACTTGCGCTGGCAGCTGTATGTTGCTGTGACTTTGTCAAGATTGTCAACTCCTCCTTTGGTGGAGTTGTAATCCAGGATCATTTGCGGCATCATGTCCTCTCTGGTGCTTAGCGATGCATCTTTGTGCATTGTGCTCATCACAAGAATGTTCTTGTTTCTCTTTGGGCAGTAAGAAACAAGAGTTGTATTCTCTGTGAAAGTAAATTTTGAGGAATGCAGAGGTCTTCCTTGCATCTTCAGAATCTCACTGGGAAGTTCCGGTTTATTTTTTCTGACTGTCCCCAACATAGTCAGCTTCCTCTTCTGAAGTTCAACTCCAAGCCGATAGGATGTAAAGAAGTTGTCACATGTAATGTTGTGACCCTGCAGCCCTTCAGTCATCTCCAATACCACACGCATTCCCTGATTCTTCTCAGGTGGTCCTTGAAGTGGCTTCCCAGTGTATACTTGCATGTTCCACGCATAACTGGATTTTGCATCGCAGGCTGCCCATATTTTGATGCCATATTTTGCAGGCTTGTTTGACACATGCTGTCGAAAAGGACAGCATCCTCTGAATGGAATGAGGCTCTCACCAACAGTAACATGTGGGCCAGGATTGTACAACAATGGCAGAATTTTGACCCATTTATCCCAGACATCTCTGATCGCTGCAAGTTTATCCTTCTCACATCGACCAGCTCTGGTGTCACGGTTGTCAAATCGGATCACACGAGAGATCCTGTGAAATGTCTCCAAAGACATTGTTGCTCGGAAGATTGGTCTTCCGTACTCTTCATTCCATAAACTTGCAGTTGCTTCGCCCTTTGACCTGTATACTCCAGCTAATACCAGGATTCCAATGTAAGCATGCAAGTCAGATGGATCCAGTGGCTTCCATTTTTCTTGAAAGACATGCCTCCCCTCCAAGTTGGTCATATCGAGGATTATCTTCTCTATGGGTGGGGATATGAAGAGCTGAAATGCTGATTCAATATCATCAACTCTTGTCAAAGCGAATCTTGTAGGACCAGGGGTCATTTTGAGGACATAAGAAGATGATAATCTAGCTTGGCTTTGGTGTGGTGATGTTGACCATTTTATTTGACCATCTTTAGATGTCAATGTCCCCTCTGTGGATGGCAATTTTTGCGTTTCTTGGTTTTCATTTGATGAAGGGACACTGGCAGACTCGTCCTCTGAATCCTCGTCATCATGGGAAAATTGACAATCATCAATGACATTGTCCTCTGGCTCTGAAGCATCCTCAGTCTCTGAAATCGCTTCCTCTACATCACTACCCCAGTACATAAGCTGTGATAAAGCTTCTTCAGCTATGAATCGCATGGAGCTCATTTTTTGGTCTATTTCTCAAAGAAAGGGCATGAAAACAGGACAGTGGCGAGAAAGTCCCTCTTTCACACACACCTGGTTCTGAATGGCTCTTCAGAAGTAAAATAAAGTACATCAAAAATACTTTTTTTTTAATATAGGATAACCAGGCACTTTGATCAGCACAAAAACTGAAATCGGGTCAAATTGACCAGAAACATAATACAAGAGTTAGAGTTCCAGCTGAATGGCTGTTTCCATGGGACATCCATAAATCCTCGCCCCTTTGCGATTTCCAGAAGTTGTAATCTTCATTAGTGGAATGGGATTCCTGAACCAATCAAAAGTCTGCATCAAAGTTTTTTTTGCGTAAAGAAAAACTGTATTTCCTGTAGTAAGCCTCGAGCGTTAACTGAAATAAATTTTCAAGTAGAAATGTTTAACAGGAACAATCGGGGGGAAAAAAGTCTAAACAGTGACTTAACTCCTCTTAAATTGGATGAAACAAAGCGTAGCTATTCTCCCTTTAAAAGTGGGCGAACAACAAACACATCCGTTAGAATATTTCTTTGCTTTGAGCTAAGGCTCTCGCTCCGACGAAATGTGCGATCTTTTTCTCCTCCCTTGCCTTTTGGGTGATGGGCCACAGCCGATTTCTTTTGTCGCTTTTCTCCGGGGTCAGGTCTTCATGGAGCGCAGTTTCCTCTGTGTCAGGTAGTCCGTTATGCGTTATGTCGGCTACAGCAGACAACCATCAGCTCTCTGTCTGCTGCTGTAAAACAGCTCAATGGGAACGGCTCTTCCCGCTAACACAGCGGTGAGCTCTTCCTGGATCTCTCCTGAGTGGGCGTGTCAAAAAAAACAACAACAAAAAAAAAAAAAAAACCCGGCGGAGTAAGACTGAGACGAGGCCCTTCGTTCTTTGCGGTGACTTCTAGGAAAAACGCAGCGTTTGTTTGCTCATGCTTCTCATTCGGCAAGCTCAACAGCTTATCTGCCACAGTCCTTCTTGTCTGCTCATAACAGCCAGACTCGATGCCCGACAAAACACTCCTGCTGCTTCGACACCAGTTTGTAAGAGCGGCTGCTTCAACTCTGACCGCTGTCATTTAAGCATAGTCTTAATGCACTGAAGCACTGTCTGTGTCTTACTTTATGCACGGAATATCATAAGCAAGTCCTCATTTTGGCAATTGCTAGGAAACAGTACGATAACTTTGGTAATAAATTTGAGCCAAATTATCTGTCAAGCCTAACTAAGAATGTTAGTTGTAGCTTACACTCAGATTTCAGGTATTAACATTGATTTACTATATTATAGGTTTCATCAACTGTTCAAGATCGTGCATTTGAATTTCTTTTTACTTATTGTGTAAAGAAATAAAAAAAATGTAATAATCAAGTATGTTTATACTTTGAGTGAGTTTTGCAAATATTGTAACATATCAAATATGCTTCATATTGCTAAATTTTGTATTCTCATTATAGTTTGAAATGTTCCAGCTAATGATAAGATAACGTTATTTGCATACCACAGTTAGATAAGGAGTGCAAATTGTGGCAGAACAGGTTGCAGCAGGTCAGTATGTTCTAAGCAGCAGAAGTAAAAGGTGAAACATCTGAGAAAGCACAACTCCTTAAATGGCTAGCAGCCAAGAGTGGCGTGTTTTATGCAGGAGAGGATTTGACTGGTATAGTTTGTGTGTATGGGAATAGTTGGAGGGGTTTGCGATGTCTCGGGGTGCGAGGATGAGAGATAAAAGTATGAAGTCCGCAGCACTCTCGCACTCAGACACGACCTCCTCCTGCAGGGACTCATTGCTGTCCGTGTTTGTGGGTGAGTTGCGTCTCCATTTGCCCAAATGCATTGATTTAATAAATGTCTTATTGAATGATTTTACATTCTGGTTTGTGGCTCATTTTTGTGTCATTTTTGTGTAGCTTAAAATATAAATGATTTAAATCTTCACTGGCTGCCCAGCTGGCATTTACATAAGCAGCTTCTTACGGTCAGGATGTTCACTGAAAACAAAATGAAGATTGTGACGTTTTTCTGCTTTCTTCTGTTGTGTTACAATGTGAACCAAATATCAACATTAGAGTCAAGGCCGTAGCGAATGAATGGGAAATATTCACTGTATGTTCAGGTTTAAAAAAAATAAAAACCCAACTTGTAACATTTGAAGTATTACTATGCCTTTATTTTTTCTTAATAGCTGTCAGACCTGATTTTCTCTTCACAGTATCACTTTGATCACTCACTGTTACAAAATCTATTACAATTTATAAAGGTTATTTATTTAAGATTTCCCCATCTATGCAATGTGTTAATGTGACGTTTTGTAGCCAGTTAGCAAACTCAGACCCAACTAAATATAATTCCTTCATTCATTCCTTCACAGACATTAGTACTCATTGGCACAAATTAAATTACAAGAATTAAACATTGTTAAAGTTAAATTAAACGTGTGTAGTATTTTCGTCTCAGCAGGTTGCAGCGGCCTGTTTGTTTTATCTGGACGTTTTGGAGCACTGCCTCATAGAGGACCCCCGTCGGTCAGCCAGCAGGAATGGGTTGAGGTGGCAGTACTGGAAAGAATAATTAATAACTGTGGTCACATTATTATGGAGCCCATAGGAAAATATTTCTGCATTTTTTTTGTCACATTAAATGTTTAAAATCACAAAACACCTTTTATGAATACAGAATACAATTTTTGAAATACGGCCCAACAACCATGATGGTTTATCTTTGTTAAGTCGTGGGCTAAAACTCCACCACAATGCTGTTAAGTCATAAAATGGACAGTAAAAATAATATTATAGATTTAGACAACAAAGTCTAAAACATGTTTTCATGACCCACTGTGGACCTAGAATAATAGATTTACAGCATTTAACCAAAACAAACTCATACTCTGAGTTACCTGTGGTGTTGGCTCAGAATCAGACTTCTGTTCATCCAACATCCTGACTGTAAAATCCGAGGAGAATCTGGAAACCTGGATAATCGCTGCCATCTCTGCGTCTACCTCCACTTCCACATCTTTCTGCACATAAAAAAACAAAAAAGTGGTTATCAATGCAGAATCTGGTACTTTGTTTTGTGAGACTAATTAACATCCTGTTAATAAATGTCTGAGTAAATATCGATAAGACAGCTTTTTTTTTTTTTTGGCCTCCTCACCTTGAAACAGTGCAAGGAATCAAAGTCCAGCTGATCTGGAAAGTCGGGAATGGTTCCCTTGTAGGTCACAGCAGCGCCTGACCTCCCTGGTTTCTGCAGCAACTTAAAGAGCCGGTATGTTCCTGAAGCATACTTGATGTCACCTGAAAAACAAAGAGCTTAGAGGAGTGTCGGTGCTGCCTGAAAGTTTCCTGTTACTACCTGCTTTTTCCTTGAGTTGGATGTTGTGGACCTCGATATGGCTTGCTGAGACCAGACGTGGAGTGCTGAAGCCCACGCTGTGGGCCAGCGAGATGAGATCTTTCCAGAACAGAGAGCCACCCATTCCCTCACCTGGAACAGCAGATGAATGTGATTCTAACCAGTGGAGTTTTGCATGCGATGATTCACTTTGGTTCCTCTGAAGCTTTGTAACTTTACCCCACAGGACTGGATCCTGCTTCATGTGGTCTGGAACGACGCTGCTGGCGTACATGTCACTGAAGTACAGCTCCCCTCCATCCTGTTAAAAAGGAGGAAGAGTTAGAAATATAAAGCTGAGTCAAGTTGAACACATTAATGCGGTAACTCTTTAAGCTAACCTTCAGAACATTGTAGGCTTGTTGTAGTACTGCTGTTTTATCAGGACAGAGACAGATCACACAGTTGGAGCTGAAAAAAGAGAGATTATCCTCCGTTATCAATCAGATCACTTTAATTGGCTAAAAGGATCAAAGCTGAACTCTTAACCTACATCAGAACATCCATCGAGTCTCTCTGTATCCCTGCTTCGCCGAGCTTTTCCATGTATCCCTGGATAAATGAGACATTGGGCTCCTCATAGCCGAACTTCTTCTGATGATACTCGACAAATTGACGGGATGCCGTGATCTACAGAAACATGGCCGAATCAGCTGCAGAAAAAGCACAGGGAGGAGGTGCTAAGGCCTCAGATGAGTGCATCTTACCAGCTGCTCTGTCATATCGATGCCCGTCACTTGTCCATTCGGCCCAACAAGTTTGCTGAATGCAAAAGAGTCTCGTCCCGATCCACTACCGAGGTCCAGAACTCTGCAGCCCTCGAGCTTCGCTGGAAACGGAAGGCCGCATCCGAAGAATCTGGAAAAGCGCATTAGTGATGGAAGGATAGAGTGCCTTACTCCCTTGATCTTTTCCACATGTTCCCTTCAACATTACAAACACCATTGTATTTTATTGGGATTTTTTGTGAGAGACCAATAAAAGGCAATGCACAAAGGTCAAGTGGAACTAAAAGAGTAGTTTTCAAACTTTTCACACAAATGACAAATCTGAAAAGTCTGGTGTGCATTTGTATTCGGTCCACCTGAATCAGTACTTTGTTGCTGCAATTACACTTGCAAATTCTTTGGGATTTCTCGTTTTATATAATAAACCTCGAGGCTTATCCTGATACAGAATGTTCCCATAAAAATGCATTGTCATCATTACTTGGACTTAAGCAGCAGTACCTTTTGATGACTTCAGGGTGAATCAGACTTAGGGCCTCTGTTAAGCTCCTTGGCAGGTTGCTGCAGGCCAAACTGCAGGAAGTAGCACTAGTTTGCAAGTCACAGGAAGACTCCAGGCGACAGCCATAGTACTTCTGAATAGGTACATAATTTTTAATACATAAATTATTTTTAAACATCCTATTGGTTGCAGTTTTTAAGCAAATGAAGCTAAAGTTGAGTTAAAGTTACAGATAAACGGGTTTATTTAGTGTTCGATTTAATTTTGCTTGAAATTATCACAACCAAACAAATTACATTAGTAAAATAAATGTAAAAATAGTTAAATTCAATTTAGGATAGTTTTATGTACCATAAACATGTCTGTATACGCTATATTAATTTGCAGATTCACAAAGTAAAACTTTCAAAGAAAACAAACCCTCTACTGTAATAAGAATCAAAGGGCAACAAGCAGCTATTATGTAACGTCCGCAAAATATTTGGAAAACTGTTCAATGAAATGAGGACAAAGCCGCTCGGAGTCTGATCCACAATAAACACTACAGTACCTTCAGATTCTCCCGCACGTCGTCACTTTTCAACATTCTGGTTTAAAAACAGACACAAACTACCAAGAAGAAAAAGCAGCACTGGGCAATAGTATGTCTATGATAAAACCCACACTGAGGTCAGAACACGTCCTTTTCCGCCTTCACTTTTCAGAATAAAAGCTCCAACACATATAGAACTTTATTGTCACTGTGTAGCACTGCGAATGTTTTTTGTGCTTTGACTTCCCCAGTGTGCTTCAGAAGAATAATAACAACATGAAAGAACTAAGAAATCGTAAATAGATAAAAAAGAGAGAATAAAACACCGATTTATTAAATATATAATATAGCTAATTAAAAAGCGCATGTAAAAGGTCCTGCTCCTCATAAATGTTTTATGGATGAACCAATACGTTTGTTTTGCATATATATTAACCGCATTTTGTAACAAAATAATAACATATAAAAGTTAACTAAAATGGACTCATAGAAATGAACTCCATCCATCCATCCATTTTCTGAACACCCTTGTCCCTCAGTGGGGTCGGGAGGGGTGCTGGTGCCTATCTCCAGCTAACGTTCCGGGCGAGAGGCGGGGTACATCCTGGACAGGTTGCCAGTCTGTCGCAGTAGAAATGAACTCCGTAGACAAAAACAATAATTGAAAAAAAAAGAGTTGAATTAAAACGCTTTTTTTGTCATAACGAAAGACTAAAGCTTTTAATTGCTTTAATAAGGTCGTATGCCTGTGTAAAGAGTAAATTAATAATGAGCCCTACTCATTATAGTTTATCTTTTGTTTTGTTTTTTGTCTGGTTAAAATGTAATCTAACTACCTTCAAGCGGCAGTGATATGCACTCCAAGCCCGTAGAGGACAGTACTGAACCGGAAGTCAAATCTGCATTCTCAAAGCAGCGCTCCTTCTACATTTGCGCTTCTTTTTGGCGTAGAAGAAATCTCGTCGCGTTTTCAGTATCGCTCAATTTGCGTAAGTGGTATCTGAGAATTCCTCTGAGCTGCGTTAATCGTGCGGATACCGTCGTGCGCTGGTTCAGTTCGGTGCAACGCTGAAGCGGAAAAAAAGCACGATACTGTCACACACGATTTGGGAGATATGTTATAGA